ACTGGGAGGTTGTCTCTGAATATCCCCTCCCTCTACCTCTACCTCGACCACCTCTCGGAGGCATTACCACTGATCGCTCTGTTTGAACAGATCTCTCTCCTGCCATTGGACAGACTCTGATATAATGACCTGGGTCTCCACAACGAAAACAAACTCCTGATCCCGCTCTACATTCACCAGAATGATACTTTCCACACCGTGAACATAATGGGTGTTGTCCTTGAGACTGAGCTGATCTGCCAACTCCTGTAGTCATTGTTTGTACCTGACGCCCTTTTTCTTAGCCTCAGATCCTCTTCGACTAGGTGTACCAACTTCGGATTTACTCTGGTGCTGATAACCTGAATCTCGACCTCTTTTAGATTGAGATGAGAATGATGCTCCTGATCTTTTAGATTGTCGTCTCCGCTCTATCAGAAAATTTTCATTTTGCACCATTTTTAAATCTTTTGCTTTGTTCACCACTTCTTGAAAAGTGGTTAAGTTCGCAGCCAACAAAAGTTCTCTGAGTCTGGGACGAAGACCTCGAATAAATTTCTGACATATATATCTCTCGGTGGAAACCATCTCTGAGGCATATCGAGCAAGTTTATTAAACTCACATTCATACTCGTAAACAGATTTACCACCCTGGATCAGATTAAAGAAATCATGCTTCATCTGAGTAATAAATTGCTCTCCGATATATTTCTTCTGAAATTCTTCTAAGAAAAACTGCCATGTGATCTGATCTGGAGGAACACGTATCGTCACGTTCGTCCACCATATACGAGCCTGACCTCGTAACAATGAAACTTCTCCCCCCAATCTCTCATCCTCCGTACAATGAAGACTGTCCAACATTATTTTTATATCATTCAGCCACATGTCTGCCACTACTGGGCCTTCATTTGCTTCACCTTTAAATTCTGTAGCTCCTAAACTTTTTAGTTCTTTCGGAACTGATATTCTTGGAACTGGAGGAGAAGGTGGAGGCGGAGGAAGAGGAGGTGCTGCTGCCGGCTGATATCGAGCCAGTATAGCCTCTAGAGCTTGTAAGAAAGTTCCCTGATCTGGAGCGGGTACTCCTTGATGTACATGCTCTCCCTGACGTTGGGGTACGTGCTCTACCTCGTTACTACTCCCACTATCGGTTCCCTCGGGAACATCTTGTTCGGTGGCCTGTCTTATGCCTTCCGAACCCGACATCTAAACAAAAGCACAAATTTACGTTAGTAAGGAGTAGCATCATAAATTAAATCATCATACCATATCATACCAGTAATTTCGACATCCTAGTGGCATGTGTATATTTTCGATATATTATAGGCTCGGTTTAGGCCGAGAATCGGCTAAATCTGTAGCTCTGATACCAATAAATGTAACACCCTTAACCCGTATATGTCTCAATATACTAGTCAAAGATGTCACATCAACTTGAAAACATTTACTGAACTAAAATTTTCGTAAAAATTTGTTTCTTTTGAAAACACTCTGGTTCTAAATTTAAAAATATATTTTAAAGTATATTTCAGCTTATAATTTATTTCTTTATTACAGGAAAATAAATTTATTATTTATTCAGTAATTTTACTAAACCATATCTTTTCGTAAAATCTTTTAAAACATAATAATGTAGTAAATTCTTGTCATACATAGATACCGATAAAACTAAATTAAGTAAAATAAACTAAAATAATTCTAGTTTATTATTACAAATTATTTAAAATAAATACGATAATTAGAAACTACTGACATAATTATACATGCCACTATAAGTCAAAAGAAACTTCATAGACATCTTACTGATACTGATGATATGTATGTCTTTCCAGAAAGATGCTCTGATAGCTCCTTACAGATCGTACTTATCCTTATTAGAACCTACGCATGAAAATCATCACGCGCTAAGTATAACTTAGTGAGGCAATAATAATTTAGGGTGAGTAAAATCTGAAATTTATCATAAACGTAAATAAAATAATTCAACTTAAAACATTAAACTGGCAAACCAACTTATCCAAGTCGATTTCTTCACTGAGACCTGAAATTTCTTTTTAAATCATGAACTCATGAAAATTCTGATAAATCATATCTAATAAAATAAGCACATCATGCTTTCTGTTAACTGAAAATCATTCACAACTTGCATATTCATTTTCATAGCCCAATGCATATTTATAAGAACATAAGATACGTGAGTAAGGTGCGCACTATGCACAACACGGTGCAAATCGTAACTGATATTGAGATATGATGCACTTCAGTGCCATCATAACCTGAATAAGCACCAACGGTGCTGGACATTGATACACGAATGTACCAAAGCTGATAGGATAACATTGATACACGAATGTACCAAAGCTGATAATACTCAACTAATGGCATGCCAAGTGTACCCATAATTCTCATTATACATACAATGGGCTCATGTGTCATAATTAAATCCATAATCAAAATATCATGCTTGGGCAGTTCATACCCTAAATCATTCATAAAACTGATAAAATATTATGAAAATAATCTTTATAAATCATACTATAAATTGGAATGAGGTTGACTTATCGCAAGTCATCCTCGATCAAAATAATTAAATAAATAATTGCACTCACCTTTGCCTCACTACAGAACTTGTATATAATAATCCTAGTCACGAGCTTTGTCCTTTCCTTTCGAATCGTTCGGATTGCTAGATTTAACGTAGTCTGACAATACCAAATTATAAAACAAAAATTGTTCGAACTACATATTAGTATCGTACTAATATAAGCTCGTTTTAACATTTGAAAATCTATATAGTAAAATCGATACTAAATCGATAACAACCATACTCATAACTCCATTATAACTTCAAACTTATCGAAACACTTATTCAATTCCATAAATAATTATTTTCAGCATGATTCTTCAACTTTTACGAATTATAAATCTAACCACATATTTAAATTCTTTCTAGAATTCAACTTAACTTTTCCTTTAATTTCATAATAGCTCTTCACTATTATGATTATTTCCCATCAAATATATAAAATTTCCAGCAACTAAAATAAAAGTTCAAATCAATAATTCAACACTCAAATGCTTACAATTTCATCCTAAACTTTCTTAGGCTTTTCAATTTCAACCTTACAACTTGATAAACTTGAAATTCAATCCCAACTTAATACTTAAACTCCAAAATCAGCACACTTTCCAGAATTATTCTAACTCACCCAAATGATACTTTTACATTTAAAAATTACTCTTCATCTTCTAATCCATTTCAACTTAAATTCTAAAATTTCCATATTCAGACAACTTGCACTATCTTTAAAGAATCAGTATTCTGTGTTGATATACACACTGGAATTTAATTCCGTTTCTTCCATTGAAAACTATACTCGAATACGAATCTATCCATATAAAGAACTCTTTCTAATTCATTCTTTACAATTTATAGTGAATTTTCAAAGTTGATCAACATAATCTGTTTTGTGCAGAATATACTGTCCGTTTTTCTGACCTTTCCTCAGTTAAAAATTCATATCTTTCTGTATACAAATTGAAATTGATCTCCGTTTGTTTTAAACAAAACTAGATTGATATAAGAACATAATATATAAAAATCATCTGCAAATAATATTTATAGAATTTCTGGTGAATTTTCAAACTTACTGCCAGATTTCAAAATCTAAACTGTTTTCATTAATTTGCATCCTTGGTTCTTCTTCAATTCTTACAACACTTCTAATATCAAGAATTGATCTTTAATCATAAAAATCACACTTCCTCTTCATCCACCATAAATACCCATTTTCACATTTAAGCATGAAACCAAGAAATAATTATACCATCTTGTAGAGAAAATAGGATAGAACAATTTCCTATTTCACAATTTAATCCCAAAACTCACCAAATTTGATCAAAAATAGAAGAAAACAAATTGACTCACCTTGTCTATGGGTTTCAGCAGCTAGCTGGAGAAGAGAGAAGAGTTTCACGATGGTTCTCCAAAAATATCTAATTATTAACCTTTAAAACTAATTAAATGAATTTTTTTATTCCTTTTGAACCAAATACCAAAATTGCCCTTAATAAATCTTGAAAATTACCAAATGCCATTGTATTATCTTCTATTAAAATATTCCTTGGTCAAAGATGATACAACTTGACTTTGACTTTCGAAATTGACCATGCAATTTTTAAAAATTGCATTTTAGTCACTAAAATTCCATTTGTTTGGTCAAATCTGAAAAATTGCACTGTTCTGAGCCAAATTTCTCTGATAAAAAATATGAAAATAATATTTCCAACCATTTTCTAACATCCTTCAAATTTTTGTAAAATTTCAGCTCGATCCGAATATCTGATTTCAATACTGAAATTTACTGCTTTATATCTTTTATCAAAATTCTCGTACCAAAAATATGATCCCCACTAAAATCTCTGTTTTAATCCAAATTTTTCATTTACAGGCATAAAATATATAACTTTTAAATTACAACCTTCAGTCCCTACACTTTTCAAAGTTTATACTTTAGCCACTAAACTTTCAAAACTTACATTTTAGTCACTGGTCAAATTTTGGGGTATTACACTTCTTTTATTCTATTGATAATAATAGATCTAATATTGGAGGAAAACAAAAGTGTCAACTCGTTTTGAATGTCATTACTAAGATAATGGTGATGAATCTTACCACTAGCAATACGCTGAACATGTTCGATCATTACAGGATCAAACTCAACCAACATTTCTATCAAACCCAAAAATTTCCATTGCTCTTTTGATATAATCTTCCATTTCCCCCCCGAAATGCTAGGTTATTTTTAGCAAGATACTTCACAATAACAATAATTCTAATAATTACATTTTTTCAAATACTCTTTTTCTTTCTTGAATTGTTCTTGAGCAACTTTATCAATTGTTTCATTTTGTTGCAGCCTATGCCTAAGTTCACACCAAGTTGACATGTTTAGTATATGGTCAATACTTGTTTCATGTTCTGTAAGTCTGGTACTAAGATGCATCCAATTATTATATCATTCATTTATTAAATTACCTTTCTCAGGACTAGGACCCTTTTTAAAAATCTTACAACAAAAACAAAACACTTTGTCAAGCTCTTTCGAATAAACAAGCCATTCCCTATCACAAGTTTCACCATTCGACAAATATCTTGTATAAAAGGTTGAAGAAAATCTACGAGAAAATTTGTCTTTGGGGCCTTTCACAATGCTCAAGTCTCTTTTGGGGCCATTTACAGCCAAAATGTCAATTAATTTAGACTCAAGAGAATCCCATTTTCTTGGATCATATATGTCAACATAAACAGATTCATTTTGTTCAACATTGCGGTTAGTATGATCAGAATTATGGTCCATATTTTGTTCAGAATTATGGGAAATATTGGCATTCTCCTTATTAACAACACCATCCACAATTTCCTCTTGTTCAACATTCTAACCATCAACATTAGTTCCATTTAATTCCTGAGAGTGAGAATTAACATCATTTTCCTCCACTACTTGGGTATCCTTTAAAAAAAACTTATCCAAAGCACCTTTTTGAGACTGAATTAATTGTTCTACTCTTTTAGTTTTTTGACGCTTTTTATATCCAAATTGATATTTTCGAATCATATTGAACAAAATCGACACAAAACAAAAACAACCACAAAATCAACACAAATAAAAAACAAATCAGAGTGAGATAAGATAGCACCATAGTTCTGAGTTCAACTTGCAGCCGGTAACTCTCCTCAAATTAACATCATCAAATCTGCAATTTATATACAATAATAAGAACTAAAAAGCACAAAATTTAATTAGTTACAATTACAAATACAACAAAGAAAAAAAGGTTGAACCATTAAATTAAAAAGAAGTAATACCCATCTCTTTAATTTCTCCTGGAAATGAGATATTCAATTTCTCAAAATTGAAATTATTAAAGAGATTGAATTTGGGAAAATACGTAGGAATTAAGAACGAAGAATCGAAGTGTGTGGAATAATAAGAAGGAAACATGCGTTTATAATAAGAAGGAAATATGTGTTTTTTCCTTTGTTAAACAATATTATAATTGAAAAGCTGGAAACAAAGAAATTGAAAAGTTGAAAATCACATGCAAAACAATTAAAAGCTGGAAATCACATGCGTTGAAAAGCTGGAACAATAGCAAAGCATTAAATGCAGTATTATATTAATCAGCAGTACAGCTGTATTACACCAAATATATTAAAAAGTCGACGTTTTCGTGTTCCCAAAGGTCAAATGTTTGTTTTTTACAGCAATATTTTGGGGCCCTATTTTTGTGGGGCCCTGCGCCATCGCGCAGTATGCGCCGGCTCTGCCACGCCCCTACTCAAGAGAATCCCATTTTCTTGGATCATATATGTCAACATAAACAGATTCATTTTGTTCAACATTGCGGTTAGTATGATCAGAATTATGGTCCATATTTTGTTCAGAATTATGGGAAATATTGGCATTCTCCTTATTAACAACACCATCCACATTTTCTTCTTGTTCAACATTCTCACCATCAACATTAGTTCCATTTAATTCCTGAGAGTGAGAATTAACATCATTTTCCTCTACTACTTGGGTATCCTTTAAAAAAACTTATCCAAAACACCTTTTTGAGACTGAATTAATTGTTCTACTCTTTTAGTTTTTTGACGCTTTTTTATATCCAGATTGATATTTTCGAATCATATTGAACAAAGTCAACACAAATCAAAAACAACCACAAAATCAACACAAATAAAAAACAAATCAGAGTGAGATAAGATAGCACCAGAGTTCTGAGTTCAACTTGCAGTCGGCAACTCTCCTCAAATTAACATCATCAAATATGCAATTTATATACAATAATAAGAACTAAAAAGCACAAAATTTATTTTTTTACAATTACAAATACAACAAAGAAAAAAAGGTTGAACCATTAAATTAAAAAGAAGTAATACCCATCTCTTTAATTTCTCATGGAAATGGGAATTTTAATTTCTCAAAATTAAAATTATTAAAGAGATTGAATTTGGGAAAATACGTAGGAATTAAGAACGAAGAATCGAAGTGTGTGGAATAATAAGAATAATAAGAAGGAAACATGCGTTTATAATAAGAAGGAAATATGTGTTTTTCCTTTGTTAAACAATATTATAACTGAAAAGCTGGAAACAAAGCAATTGAAAAGTTGAAAATCACATGCAAAATAGTTAAAAGCTGGAAATCACATGCGTTGAAAAGCTGGAACAATAGCAAAGCATTAAATGCAGTATTATATTAATCAGCAGTACATTTGTATTACACCAAATATATTAAAAAGTCGACGTTTTCGTGTTCCCAAAGGTCAAATGTTTGTTTTTTTACAACAGTTTTTGGGGCCCTATATTTATGGGGCCCCTACGCCGTCGCGCAGTATGGGTCGGCTCTGCCACGCCCCTGTGTACTCCACAACCCTTGGTCCACGTAGCTACACATACCAACATGTTCAATTATTATATAAGGTTTGTAAATATAAAGGTTGAACAGTGACACATTCAGCCATGCCTCACGCATGCCTTGGGTTCCTTTCATCAAATATAATATTCATACTTGTTATTCAATACATATAAACTTGGAAATTGGATTATAGGATGTTCGGCTTTATTTTACGATTTTCGATGATTTTTTAATAGTTTAACTTTTTTTTGTAATTTGTTTATTAATTCAGTCTGATTTGTTTGTATTTATTTTTCGTTCGAGTATTTTGATTGAGTTCTTAACCTTTTTTATGTATGATTCTTATATGATCTAAAGTGATTAGTTTCAATGTTATTAAAAAATGTTTAAATTGTGTATTTAATTTACAATGATCGTTATAAACCCTTATTATAATTTTGGATATCTTCACTTTCTGATAAGACTAGCGATTTTTATTAAAATAATTAGATTTTAGTGTAAATAATTAATATGTGTATATGTATGATTTTATGATATTTATGCAAGTATGTATGTATGTATGATACATGCATTACATAGACTACCGTGTAAATAAGATTAAAAGTGTAATATTTTAATAGATATTTTAATTTAAAAATATTATAAAAATATATTGATGTGTGTATGATACATATGTTATATGCATATATTATGTATGTATATATGTATGTATGATGCATGTATTAAAATTTTAAGCTTTTTAATTTAAATAAATTTTAAAATTTTATAAATGTGGTACATGTAAACGAACAAATTTTTAAACTAAAATATCTATTAAAATATATTGATGTGTGTACATACATACATGTATGATTCATAATTCATATTTTATTATAACATTTAAAAATTAATCATATTAATTAGTATGATTTATTATAAACTCAAAATCTCACAATTTTATTAAAATCTTATATTTCATCAATGGTGATATATAAGTCAGGTAAATGTCAAGTCAGGTAAATATCAGATTAGATCAATAACAAGTCGGATCATTTACAGGTCAGGTTCATAACAGGTCAGGTTGAAAATAGGTCGGGTAATACCAGTTATTTACCAGGTCAATCTCGGGTTCGGGTTCATATCAGTCAGATGCAGGTCGGGTTCGGGTATCATATTTTCGGTTCAATTCTGGTTCAGGTCGTTATCAGGTCGGGTTCAGATACACAATTTCCAAGTCCAACTCGGGTTCAGGTCAACACCAGTTTCGACTTGAGTCGGTTTCAGATCGCTACAACGCAGGTCAAAAACAGTCTTGACGCGTGTCAGTTTCAATCTGTTTTACAGGTCGGGTTAGCTTTTTACACCTCTACATTCGATAACTCAATTGGGGTCATAATATCCCAGGATAGCCAACAACCTTGAGTTTCCAATTCATAATACCCTTAATGTACTTTAGTAAGCCTATGAGAACAAACCAATGTTCAATACTAGGATTATGAGTATATCTATTTAACCTACTCACAACGTAGACAATATCAAGCCGAGTATAGTTCATTAAGAACATAAGGATCCTGATAATTTTAGCGTACTATAGTTTGGAAATAATACTCCCTTTATTCTTAACGAGTTGTATGCTAGAGTTGTAAGGAGTTTTAACCGAGATGACATCAAAACTATTAAATTTCTTTAACATCTTCTCTATATAGTGTGTTTGATTGAAAATCTCTTATCAGTTTTGGTAACCTTAACTCCTAAGATCACACCTCTCTCAGATCTGTCATCTCAAACTTAGTGGACAATTTTTTGTTTTGTTAATGGATTCTAAGTTAGTATTGAATATCAACAAATAATCAACATAAAAACTTATGATGACACAATTAGTCCCAAACATTTTTGAATACATGCATCCATCCACTCCATTTGCAATGAAACCAAAACTAAGAATAGTTCTGTGAAATTTCTCATATCACTGCTTTGGAGCTTGCTTAAGGCCATAAAAAAACTTTTTAAGTCTACATACTTTGCCTTCTATACCAGGAGCTTCAAAACTTGGTGGTTTCTCTATATAGATCTCCTCGTTTAGATTTCCATTAAAAAATGTAGTCTTTACATCCACTTGATGTACATACAACTTATGAATGGACGCTATCGTAAATAAGGAACTTATGTATCAAAGAAATCTATACCAAACTTATGAGTAAACCCTTTGACTACTAGCCTTGCCTTATATCTCTAAATTGACCCATATGGTCTCAGTTTTTTCTCTAAAAATCCACTTAGAATTGATTGGTCTAAACCCTCTAGGCAAATCAACCAACTTACATATGTGATTAGACATTATCGACTCTACTTCATCATTTATTACACTTCTTCAGAAACTAGCTTCAATAGATCTTATTGCTTTATCATATGACTTTGGATCATCATCTAATGGAAAAGTTTGAACTATAGGAATAATATCGAGAATAAATCACTTATTTCTGTAATAAAGGAAGTTATAAAGTCTAGTCCAAAGGTATGATATTAATATTTTCCTCCTTTACTCTTAAAACTTACATAGTAGTGTTTTCTTCCCTTACTTTTAGAGTTTCTAAAATATACTATATCAGTAAGACTAAGTTATAGCAGTTCGAATTTTCTCTTAGAAACAATTTTAAAGGAAGGTCTAGCATGCTTTGCATCTATATAAATTTCACATTTGTTAAAGTTATTCTCGTTTAGATTAGGAAGTAGATTCATTTTAATGAGTTTCTTAAGTGAATGGATGTTCACATGTCCTAATCTAGCATGTCAAATATCAAGAGTCTCAACAGTGTAAGCTGAAGTGGTGATTTCATTACTTTCATTAAATCAGGTTTCAATTACAAATAAACTTCTATTTAGATAGTATTTCACTACTTAATCACCATTACAAGAAAGTATAAGTTTATTTGCTTCATAAAATTGGTTTAATGCCTACCTTATTAAGTTACCCACTAATAATCAGAATTTTGCGCATGACAGGTACATACAAAACACTATTCAAATCTAAAGTTTCATTGGAAATCAACTTTAGTAAAATCTTCCTTTTGCTTAGCACTTATAAGTTGCTAGAGTTCCTCGTGTACACTTGTTCACCTTTCTCTATATTCTCAAACTTGATGAACAACTCTTGTTTGGCGTAGTAATATCTGGAAGAGCCAATATCTACAATCCACTCATCATTGTTCTCCACTAGATTGACTTCAAAAACCACTACTGTAATGACCTCATCAGCATTCTTGGCAATGTTCAGTTGTGGTTTGTTATGATTCTGGCTGTCTGATCATTTTTGGTACTAGTAGGCTTTATGTCCAGCCCTTTCGCACACATAGCAATTGAAGAGCTTTGGTTGGGCCTTGTTATTTCCTTACTTCTTCAAATTGACAATATTTTGAGGCTTGACCTTTTTTTCTTCTGGTTCCCACGTTTCTTAGACTTATTGGGCTTAGCATCTGAGGCAAATCGAGATTCAATCAAGCTACCTTTGAATGGGGCCTTCCTTTTGGATTACTTTTTTTTGTTATCCTTTTTAGAGTATCTTTCATTTTTCTTAAACTAAAAAAAGTTCTCTCATTTATTTAAACCGAAAAAGGATCCCCTGTCAAATCTATTTCCCCCCTTAAATAATACCATCTTTTTTTTATAGGAATCGAGAGTCAAACTGAAATGGGCTTTCTTTTTCTTCATGTATTCTTTCTCCAATCATCCTTCGCATCATCAACCAACAAGCACCAAAGAGGAAACACGATAGGTAAGCATGGAGGGACAAGTCGATTCAACTTACATCACACGTGTGAAAGATGAATATTTGAGATGATTTGAAGAATCGCACGTGCATCACATGCGTTCGATCTGGCAGCCGAATCATCTGGAGACTTTGGATA